TTATATTTATCAAGTGAAAATGTTTATAAAAGTCCGGTATCAGTTCTCGACGAGTTTATATTTATCAAGTGAAAATGTTTATAAAAGTCCGGTATCAGTTCTCGATGAGTTTATATTTATCAAGTGAAAATGCTTATAAAAGTCCGGTATCAGTTCTCGACGAGTTTATATTTATCAAGTGAAAATGTTTATAAAAGTCCGGTATAAGTTCTCGATGAGTTTTGATTTATCAAGTGAACATGTTTATAAAAGTCCGGTATCACTTCTCGATGAGTTTTGATTTATCAAGTGAAAATGTTTATCAAAGTCCGGTATCAGTTCTCCATGAGTTTTGATATATCACACTGAACCATTTTTTCAAAAAATAAAAAAAACCTAACTTCAGTTTTGTTGACATTTTTTGATGTTTCAGGATGAAATATTACCAACGGACGTATATACAAGGTTCATATCCTCTAAATATTCCAGCACGCGCTCTATTCCTGGAAGAGACTTGTGTAACGATTACTAAGACGATTTAATAGTAGCGTTCTTTTATTGACATTTTAAAATCATCAATCTTGAAGAAAGCGAAACATAAATGCTGAGGTCATTTGCTGCTGTAAATGTCTTCTGAACATGACTGTTATATAACTAACTGTAAAATATCAAATATCGTTTTTCGTTGTTGACAAGTTTTCTCTTTCGTTTTAATAGTCTCGTGAAATAATCGGTACGAATTCAAAATACCCCGTTTCTCTCTCTTTCATTCTATTTATATGTAAAGAAAGGAATAACACATTTTCATGTGGCGTTTCGCCGCAGTTCCTAAAGGTGGCGCACCATGGATGTCACGTTTTACTGAATTTGGTTCACGGAGGATTTCTATGACATTAGACATTGCAATGCCGCCGCGATAGGCCTATGAATTGGGACGTTAATGTGGCTAGTTTTTCTAAAGGGAAGTGTCCATACAGAAAGATTGTTCATAACTTGCAGGGCAGAGCGTTCAGGACAGCAACTAGCCCCGAAAGTTCTTCACAAGCCCACCAGGAGGAAAGTCGTTATCTAAAAGATGGCTGGAAATGTTAACTTCTCACCAAAAGAATCCATTGTGGTGAAGCTGGAGACATCTTGTTGTACTACAAACAAACAAAGATTTAAAGTCAAAAATGCTTAAAATGTACAACATTCCAGTCATACCATGAAATAAGCGGTTGTTTCCATGGGACAAATGACCACCGAAGGAAATGAAGTCAACAATCCCATTTGTCCACGATCTTCTCAAGCCCCACTACACAGTTTCAATGGATTTTAGAACCTTCCTTCTACCTAAATATGGGCGTGTGGAAAGTATGGATTGACCTCACCGTCCACTGAGTGGACGGTGAGGTCAATCCATACTTTCCACACGCCCTCCATGTAGTGGACGGTGAGGTCAATCATACTTTCCACACGCCCTCCATGACATGGAGGGCGTGTGGAAAGTATGGATTGACCTCACCGTCCACTGCATGGAGGGCGTGTGAAAGTATGTATTGACCTCACCGTCCACTGCATGGAGGGCGTGTGGAAAGTATGGATTGATCTCACCGTCCTTCGCAGAAGTTTGTTACAATGGAAACTACGATGTCGGACAACAATAAGCTTCATGGACCTCAGACTGGAACGGTCAATACTATGTCAGACAACAATAAGCATCATGGTCCTCAGACTGGAATGGTCAATACTATGTCAGACAACAATAAGCTTCATGGACCTCAGACTGGAACGGTCAATACTATGTCAGACAACAATAAGCATCATGGTCCTCAGACTGGAATGGTCAATACTATGTCAGACAACAATAAGCATCATGGTCCTCAGACTGGAACGGTCAATACTATGTCGGACAACAATAAGCATCATGGTCCTCAGACTGGAACGGTCCATACTATGTCGGACAACAATAAGTATCATGGTCCTCAGACTGGAACGGTCAATACGATGTCGGACACCAATAACCATCATGGTCCTCAGACTGGAACGGTCAATACGATGTCGGACACCAATAACCATCATGGTCCTCAGACTGGAACGGTCAATACGATGTCGGACACCAATAACCATCATGGTCCTCAGACTGGAATGGTCAAAAATGGTGAATATAATTCCAAAAAGAAAGGGGACAGGAGTATTATTGTTTTAAAATGAATTAACCATGTATTTAGGTACACACTCTAAAATAAAAAGAATGTAAGTTGACGTAACTTTTTTACAGTGTCTCGTAAGTTGACGTAACTTTTTTACAGTGTCTACGATCTCTTACATTAATCGGCCTGGCCAGGCGGTTATGGCGCTCGACTAGCAATATGCGGATCGTGATTTCGAATCCCGTCACCGAACATGCTCGTCCTTTCAATCGTGGGGACGTTATAATGTGACAGCCAAATCCACTTGCCTTTTGTAAAAGGGTAGCCCAAGAGTTGGCGGTGCACGTGACTAGCTCTATCTGTCTATCACCACTAAATCAGGAACGTCTTGCACAGATTGGTCCTCGAGCAGCTTTTCACGAAATCCAACAAAGAAATAAAGACACTTACGTTGATACTTTTCTTACAAAATGATCAGTGTTTTTAACCAATTTTATCTGATGACTTTCTTAACTTGAAAATATTACCTTAACAGTAAATGTTTTTCACTATGCATAATTTGTCACAAGTTGGCGGCAGCACACGCCACCTAACGATTACTTTTAACCGAATTGTTGAATGTTGAAAGAGCGAGGACTTCAGTCATTTAGTGTGGCTAACAGGAAACCACGACAAGTCCATATATTTATTATTTATATAGGATCATAAATTATTTAATTCTTTTTTTTTATTGACATGTAAAGTATCTTTAGTAAAGATTATTTCAAAAAATTATAAGTACAAATATTACTGTCATTAATATCGTAAAAACATGACGTAATGGATGGGAAAGTCTTGAAGCTAAACAATGAGATTACAATAAGGTTTAAATCCACACTAACGGAACAATACCAAGTTTATATGAAAATAGTTTGACTGTTCACATGTCCTCTTTCGTACAACATTCGGCTCCTTTTAGCTTACTCCCTGACGGTGATGAACAGGTGTGGTCGACAGGTTGAGAACCAGCCATTTCAGATTGTTCAAATATAATTATTTCAAGTAGTTACAAAACTAAACTTTGAAACCACAAAAGTTTCGAACTACGAACGACACGTCGTACATTTTTCACTTGCCACTTTTACTGTTGGTTCATTCTTTGGTTGTTCTATAATTAAACACATCTAACATTGGTAAGAAACTAGTGTATAGGGTAACAAAAGGATTATATCCGTAATATTACACCATACAAGTAAACAGAAATCTATCAGTAATATTACACCATACAAGTAAACAGCAATCTATCCGTAATATTACACCATACAAGTAAACAGCAATCTATCCAGTAATATTACACCATACAAGTAAACAGAAATCTATCAGTAATATTACACCATACAAGTAAACAGAAATTTTTCAGTAATATT